CACTGGCCCTCATATGTGGGATCCGAACCGGGGCCCTCTGGCGTCCCAAGCCAGTTCTTAACCATCGTGCCACTCGGCCGGCCCCAATCCTCTTAACTTTTGTTCATCTGGCTTCAGCCCATCATTCCATTTGGTTGAGACCTGATGGAACCCTCCTTGGGCTATTTGATGGCACTGCCTGTAGTGATGCCTCCTGGCTGTGCGTCATCCACAAATGTGACAAACAGCTGCTTGGTGGGCCCTATGGCTAAAGCTGGCCATGGCCAAGGTCAGGACCCCAGGCCACACTGAGCATCCCCCTGGGGGTTGTCATCACCCATCAATCACAGGCGGTGGGTCGAGTTGGCCAGGCCCAAACAGCCTATGGGGATTTTATCTAGAGTTCATCCAAAAATCAAGATATTTGCAACGGGAATAAATCTCAGATCACAAACTCAGTGTGCAACAAACGAAGACTTCTTTACTTTTCCCTAACTCAGCTTAATTTTTGTTTTAAGCAGATAATTAATTGGGGGCAAAGTGTTTCCCTCTTCTCCCCCAGGGTGGCAAGGACATCGTGGGCCCAAATCACCACAGGCAGAGTGGGGGTGCCGTCTGGTCCTCAATTGTCTGCCCCCCCCCACACACACACACACCACAGATTGACCAGGAGGCTTTTCTCATTTCCAGCCATGTGGCTCCTTGTCCTATAGTCTGGGACCTGCAACAACCACTGCAGAGTTTTGGCCACTGCCATAAATCCGTTCTCTTATTCTGCTGTCATCTCCATTTCTTGAGACAAAGAGTATTTCCTGCTTGTAGGAAGCCCCCCTCCCCACCCCAGACCCCCAACAGTGGAGTGCTAGAGTGGACTCCTACCATCTGTTAAATTTGCAAGAAGTTTGGGAGCCAGGTATTAAACCTTTGGTAGCCTTTGGAAACTGTCCACTGTAGGAGTACTGACACCATGAAAATCAGCAAATGCTGCAAATCAGGACCCTTCTCCTTCCTTTTTTCCCTCCCTCAGTCCCTCCCTCCCTCCCTCCCTCCTGTGTCCTTCTCTCTCTCTCTCTCTCTCTCTCTCTCTCTCTCTCTCTCTCTCTCTCCTCCTTTGGGGAAGGAGTTATAAATTAATATTCTCAAAATATTATTCCTCCATCATGCACGCCTCATCTGTGCATTTCTCCTGATTATGCAGGCAAATAACTATGGCAAAGGGGGNGACTTTTTGTATGAGGAAGTGTGACATTCATGGTACAGAGTCACACAGACTTGGGCTCAGTTCCAACAGTACCATTCACTGGCTGTGTGACTCTGGGAAAAAGACCAAAGCCTCAGTTTCCTCACCTGTAAAATGGGACATGGGGCTCTGTCTTGCAGCCAGCATGGACAGGGGCTCCCTAAGCCTTGCCAAACCCCTGATGGAGGCACCCCCGGCTACTCACCTGGAAACCTGGGACAGAGGGACAAGCTTGCCGGCAGTGGTGGCCGTGTGGAAGCTGTGGGCTCCGACAGTCTCCATGGCGATGATGGGCACATCCCCCCAGCCCACTTCCTGCAGCCCCTGGACCACTCCACACAACAGGCCCCCACCACCCACTGACAGCGCGATGGCCCCCGGCTTTGCACTCAGTGTCTCCTTCAGCTCCTTCACGATGGAAGTATGGCCTTTCCTGGAGGGTGGGAGAGGGTGGCAGGTCAGGGCTGGGCTTCCTGGAGACACCAGGCAGGGGTCCTGGACATGCTAACTTGCCCCCTTCACTTGTCCTCATCTCAAGCTAGTCCCCTCCTGCCCGACTCCACCCTGATTTCCAGTGCCAGCACCTGTATCTCTACCTGAGGGCTTCCTCTGGCCACTGGAGCTGCCTGTGAATGTGGCAACGGGCGGTGCCAACAGACGACAGCCCTGAGAACACCCCTCACTCAGTGACTGCGGGAATCATGGGAGTTGGTGTATAATAAACACCCCAGCATCCTCTCCCGCGGGTGGGTAACTCTGGTTCGTGCTCCATGCTAGCTTCCAGGGACCCCAAGGGGTTAAGCTCCAGTGGTCCACAGCAGTCACCTGCCCATTAGAGCCCCAGTTAATGGCTTCGTTCTTTCCTCATCTCCCTTCGCCACGCTAACGAATCACTTCCCAAGTAAACTGCTTTCCCTGAAATCTTTGTCTCGGCATCTGCTCCTGGGAGGGGACACAATTGCGGACACCTGTGTATCTGAGCTCGTGCGTTTGCTCATGGCCACGTGCAATGAGCATTTGTGCACATATGTGCATGCACCTACGGCTATGCCTATGCAAGTGCTTCTACATGGCAGTGCACACACATGTAAAACTGCTGTGCATAATGGTGTGAGGACATGCCTTGGGGCAAGCGCCCTCCCAGTGGTATAGGGAGTGGATGCCGCCCACACCAGGTGAGCCTGGGTGCCACGTACCAGATGAGGGGGTCGTCAAAGGGAGGGATGTAGACCCAACCTGGGTTGTTCTTCGCCAGGGACTTAGCTAGCTCGAAGGCCTCGTCCAGCATCTGCAAGACCACAGGGGAGAGGGAGAGGCGGTGAGGGACTGGGAGGGGGACCCTCCTCTGCCACCAGGTGCCTTCCGTGGACCCTGCCCGGGTCAGCACTCACCTCACCCACCACCTTGACCGTGGCGCCCTCATTCTTGAGCCTGTCGATGGTGAGGGTAGGTGTGGTGCTGGGCACAACGATGGTGGCGGGAATCCCCAGCTTTCTGGCGGCATAGGCGGCCGCCATGCCTGCGTTGCCCGCTGCCAGGGGTGGAGAGTGGGAAGTGTGTCAGTGTGGAAGGGCTTGGGGCTCTGAACCCTACTCCTCAGGTGACCGCTGCCCCCCGGAATTCCAAATTGGGACTGCTGCAAATGTTTGCAAAGGTTCAAGGATGGGGAAACCAGGGCCCAGAGAGGTGGAAAGCCTGGCCTGGGAACACACAGCAGAATCCAGGAGGAGGCACGCAGACCACTTACCGGAAGAACAGACGAAATGTTCACAGCCTTGCTCAGCCCACTGTGGAGACAAGGGGGACGGGGTCAGGCCCACCTCCTGTCTGTCCCTGGGCTCTTCCCGCTACCTGGAATACCTCCCAGTGATTTCATCTGAACTTCCTTCATAGGAAACTTGGACTTGCCCTAGCCTCTCAGATGACATTTTCTCTCCCCAAAGAGACTGGCTCAGGGAG